TATACAGATGTATGTTTCTGCATGTATGTCTATGTAAACTGTGCATATACATACATACATGCATACATACATGCATACATCCATACATGCATGCATGCATGCATGCATGCATGCATGCATAAATACATACATACATACATACATACATACATACATACATACATACATACATACATACTCACACACACACACATACACACCCATCCATCCATTCACCCAGCCATCCTTGCATGCATGCATGCATGCATGCATGCATGCATGCGCCTAAACTTTTAAAGCCTCGCAAAGAGCCTCTGAGGCCGGCCTTCCAAATGTTGTCCATGCGGCCCCGAGCTGTGCATTGCGTCGAGAGGCTTGACTTGTCTCTTTTCGGGTGGAAAAGCCTTGTGGGGGTTTTAGGGCTTCCTGGCGTGGGATTCTTTGAGGGCATCGCTTCGGAGGCGAGTGTAGGGTTGCACTTGAGGATTCTGGGTGTGAGGAGTTGGAAGCCAACACTGCTGATGTGATTCATGTGTTTGCAGGGGTTTCATGGTTCGCAGGTCTCCAGGATCGGGGCGAGAGCATGTACTTGGGGCGTAAGAGCGGCGCTGGGTATGGTGGTTAATAAAGCTGGGGCTCTCAGGTATTTGGTGTTCCGGAAATATATTTGGGCCACAAGCACAAGCTTAGGGCAAGCTCGGTCTGACACTGCGGCGACTGCGGGAGGGGCTGGAAACCTTCAAAGTCCTTTTTCCGAACCCCTGAACCCTCAAAAGTAAAGTTCCGAGTACTTGCACAGCCGAGAACCTGTGGCCACAGAGCCAAACACGACCATCTTCATCATCATCATCATCATCAGTAGCAGTCACTAGCATCATCATCACCATCATCATCCTCGCCAACACCACCATCCCTATCATCATTGTTGATTCCGATACTTACTCTAGGTGCCGTCACACTGATGTGGACAGGCAAGGGAACTTAAGGCACCTTGCTGGCGCAAGCCCGAACCAAACAAAAACAAGTCTGAATGCTGCTTCAGTTAATAGCAAGGGAGTTGATTAAGTCAGCTGAGTGCCTGGGCACTAACACACTGCAACCATCCATGCAGGTCATAAAGACAGAACTATATCCTTGCCTGCTTACAATATTTATCTGTGCATATGTATATATATATATATATATATAGATACACACAGTTATATATACACACACGCACTATATGCACCTAAACCGAATTCACTAACCATGAGATCCGGAATGTTTCTCCGACCGGCGCTGCTTCCACGTGCAGGCGCGAGAGTATGAGGTGGAGCTGCCCAGGCGCTGGGCGGCAAGCGAGGCTCACTGAGGCAGAGCGAGCTTGAAATTCGACGAAGCTGGGGGCATAACGAACCCGATTATCAGCAAGAGTAGTCCCAATTTAGGGGCATAGCGAACCCCATTACCAGGAAGATTATTCCAATTTATTGTTCAGGCTTCTGTATTAGGGGTCATGGGGGGCTTAGGATACTGGGCAACTTACACCTTAGAGGGGCTCTGGGGCTTATCTTGAGACGAAAAGGATAGTTCATATAATGCTACGAGTACTGCTATACAGTTGGTACTCAATAATGTGGCCAGCATATGTTTCAGGTCTTTCAAAGGTAGGCTCATAATTGAGCTCCGTATTCAGAAGGGCAGAGAGCTGTGCGACGCTGTCCTTGAGGGATTCTCTGCAAACGAATCACCCGGACAGTTCTCTAAATTTCGGGTTTGCGGTTTGGGGTTTACCTTGTCGTGTCCTTCTGTCTGTTCGGGAATCAACATGAGCGCGGATTGATTTGCAGCACTACCGATTTGGTTGTTTCTTCAAACCTAGGGACCCTAAACCCTAAACCCTAAACCCTAAACCCTAAACCCTAAACCCTAAACCCTATGGGTTCTTCTGCTATGGGCCCTAGGATCTGGAGTTCCTGTAAAAGCCGCTACATCCTGTTGATGATATAAATCCTGCATTACCTCAAGGACCCTAACCTATGAGAATTACGCTATATTCCTTAATATGGGTAATGCAGGATTTATATCATCAACCGTCTCATGTCTTCGAACGCCAAGAAAGGCCAACCTCCTCGCCCTTCAGAGCTTGCCTCGCTTTGGCATTTCCAGCTATCCGTCTTGCGGACGCCGGCCACCACGAGAAAAGGCATGGTTCAGGGTTTAGGGTTTAGGGGTACCGCTGTGGAGGAATAGCCAAGAGAAGGATCCCCTCCGTGCTTCTCGCCGAAGCTCCACATTCCGGCGCCGAAACCTCTTCTGAACACAGCCCCTGCCGTGGGGAGTACCTACTTGGAGGCCCTTTTGAC